ACAAAAGAGAGGGATATGAAGATTTGACTGTAGAAGGAAGAGATAAGACAGTGGAAGCTATTTCAAGGATTTGAAGATACTATACTACTGATTTTGAAGACAGAGAAAGGGGCCAGAAATAAAAAAATACTGGAGGCCACTAGAATCTGAACAAAGTAAGAATTTTTCCTCAGAGACCTCAGAAGCAACCAGCTTTCTGACTTTAAACCAATGAAACTAATTTTATACTTCTGACTTAGAGAACTGTAAGAGAAAAGAAATTGTTTTAAGCCACCAAGTTTGTGGTCATTTATTACAGCAACAGAAAGAATCTGATACACCACTGAAGGCTACAGCTTATGGGTCTGCAGAGTCGGACACGACTGAAGCAACTGAGCAAGCGAGCGATTACCTCACATGGATACAAAGTTTTCTCCTTGTGTTGAAAATTTTAAGATCTACTCTCTTAACAGCTTTCAAATATACACTACAGTATTGTTAGCTATAGTTACTATGCTGTACCTTACATCTGAAGAACTTATTTATCTTATAACTGGAAATTTGTGCCTTTTGACTTCTTTCACCATGACTTCACCATGACTTCCTTCACAATTCTCCCACCATGTCCCCTACCCACCACCTCCCAGCCTCTGGCAATCAGTAGAAACTCTTTCTATGAGGGATTTTGTTTGTTTTCAGATTCTACATATAAGTGAGATCATAGAGTATTTGTCTTTCTCTGTCTGATTTATTTCACTTAGCAGAATGCTTTCAATATTCTTCTGTATTGTTGCACAGGGCAGGATTTCCTTATTTTTTAATGACTGAATTACAATCCATTGTGTATACCCACACTTTTTCTTTTTTTTTCTTCCTTTTCTTTCAGCATTGTTAGAACCTTCTTTATGGTGAGTGTTCTCTCCCCTCCCCAGTTTTAGTGAGATATAACTGTCATATAGCACTGTATAAGTTTCAAGTGCACAGCATAATGATTTGATGTAATCATGAGATTACCACAAAATTTAATTAACTTTATCATCTCATATAATGTTATATAATTTATATAATATTATATAAACATATATACTTATATATGTTTATATATGTGTTTATATGTATATATATATTTATATATGTTCTCTATATATATAACAATAATAATATAACTATATAATAGTTACCATCTCATATAAATACAAAATTTTTTTCCTTGTGATGAGAACTCTTAGAACTCTCTCTTAACAGTTTTCATATTAAAATGCAGCAATGTGATATTCACATTTATAGCTGCTGAGAGATTGAATATACAGACAATGGACCATACATAGAAAAAGAACTCTGACCCACAAACTGCAAGAACTTGCCAAGAAAATCCACCCTCTTGTCAATAATAAACAGTCCAGCAAAGAAGGCAATCTTTTATAAGTCAGACTTGTAAAAGCGTGATCGCTTTGGTAACAATAAAGGAAGCTTAACAATCACTTCTGTAACAATAGGCCCCAAATGTCTAAGGCTTGATTAATACCTGCCAACTTCCTTAATTTTTTGCCCCACTTCCAAGTTAAGGGCAACCAAAGAAAGTCAAATATGTACCCTACCAATAACGGTGCTCTTGATTAGTCTGCCAACAGATTCACCACACCAATATTCTCCAATCAGGGCACATGTGGAGCTTCTCTTTTTCTAAAGCTTTCCCACTCCTCTGCCTGCCTTTGTGTCTCTGCCAAAATGCAAGTAACAGTGGCTGACCCTTTTGCTATCAAAAGCTCTGAATAAATACCCTTTCCTTTCCTCATGTGGCTGTTCTTCGTTTCATTCCATAGTGCACAAAAACAGCTTCTTGAATGGAAAACAAATAACCAACAATCAAGTCCATAAAAGTGTAGGACATCACTTGAGTGCAAGTTTCGCAGATTAACTGACCAGGGACCACTTCATCATCCATGACCAAACTTCTGGAATGCAGCTAGATGTTCACTCTGACACTTAGTGGTGGTCACATTCTCTCCTAGCTCTCATGGGTGAAGTGAGGGATAAGAGTCCTGAGGGAAGTGTAGGTGGAAGTGTCAAGGGGTTGGTCCTTCCTTTGCTTAGAAGGGAGTCTGGGGTGCTTTTCAGAGCCAGGGCTATGGGGAATGAACTTTATCCTGAAGCCATGTCATTAATTTTGTCTTCTTCCTAGGGGTGGAGGTTCTATCTATTCTCTGGGGTCATTATGAGCTGAGTTGGGTCTCCCAAGATATCTGCTCTGCAACTAGAGATATAAACCTGGGACATGAGCTCATCAATTTTGTAAGAAGCAGAAGAACATCTTGGATGGTTAGTTCTACAAATTTTTATTTGGAGCCATGGAGTTGGAGGAGAGTCTGTGAGGGGATTTCTCAGGTCACCACTTGCTCACACATTGCCCTGAGGACTAAATCTTGGCATATTGCTTGGGTTTAACCCTTTTCTGTTGAGATTTATAGGTCAGAGTGAAAGATGAACTGTGGGGAAAGGAATAGAGGTGGTAGGTGCTGAAGCAGGTGAGGGAAGACCTGACAGATAAGGGACTGAAAGTGACCGAGAAATGTGAAGTTATCACTTCAGGCTTCAGATTATAGTGTCAGGCTGGACACAGAGATACTTCCTTGCTGTCAAGTGACAAATGTTATCAGCATCAGAGACCAAAATATGATAATCCTAGTTTTCTTGGGGAAAATTTTTATCATTGATCATCTGTTCTCCAGCCTCTGAACTGAGACAAAGTGGGCAGACAGATCTATTGTGCCTCTGCCACACATGTGTCTGCATCACTGCAGTGTTCCTGCCTGTGCTGATCATGGAATCTACCTACCCGAGCTATACACTGGCTCCCTTGGCTGGCTGTGCTTAGGTGCTCAGTCATCTCCCACTCTTTGTGACCCCATGGACTGTAGCCTGCCCGGCTTCTCTGTCCATAGGGATTCTCCAGGCAAGAATACTGGAGTGGGTTGCCATGCCCTCATCCAGGAGATCTTCCTGAACCAGGGTTCAAACCCAGGTCTCCTGCATTGCAGGCAAATTCTTTATCATGTGAGCCACCAGGGGCTGGCATGTTTGTGTAATTCACTATGTCCTGGGATTTCTCTCCCCACTGCCACAATTTTCTGACTCTAGAAATATAACAAAAACAAAATCTCCTTCCTATTCTGAAAACCTCTCCAAAAAGGTATAAGAAAAAGAAAACAGATTTATTTTTGAGTAAACATTAAATCAGAATGTGATGTGCATTATAGGTGATCTGCTAAGTGAATGCAAAGACAGAAGGAATATCATTCTTTTCTATATCCAGGCAAGGATAATCTATTACATTCTGCTCTCAGGATAAACAATAACCAGTTCTCAAATAAGAGACTTGACAGCCCCATTTGGCACACAGAGTTCATTCTAGATTCACCTGGTAATTGGAGTGACTGTGTTGGTTAAATGGCTTTATTCAAAGGAAAATAAACTTCTCTCATTCTACGACAAGAGAGAATTCTGCAACTTGGAGCAAGGTGCTTGCTAAAGTTATAGACTCCTGCACTCTTACTGAGCTGGGGAAGTAGGGACTCTATCTTCCTGGATGATTGCATTGAAAAGATATGGATCTCAAGTTTTTTTTAATTAATTAATTTATTTTAATTGGAGGCTCAAGTTTTTGAGAAAGACACTGCTGGGTCTGAAAGCTGGCTAGAAGGTTATTTCACTTTTAAAATGTTTGTGTAAAAAAAAATAAAATGTTTGTGTACATTTCAGAGTCAAATAACAAATTTCTCTAAAGTAAATGCTCTAAGAAATTGGACGAAGGGAGAATTAAAGCCTTATATTTTTAACAGCATTTATTCTTACATCTGTTATACACTTTTCCTCCTCCTACTCTTTATTGAAAACTCCAATACTCTCATAATCTTAAATCTATATCCACTTTTCCTAAACCTATAGCTATTTACCCTAAAACCCCTTCTCTCTCTCCCTTTGCATTATTTAGGCCCCTTTCTCTGGGGGTGTACTAACTGGTTTTCAAGAGAAATAAGGATCAAATCTTGTTTGGTAGCAACTGAGGACAAATGAGAGGAAAAGGAATTCACTGCAGAGGGAAAGGACAGGGATAAGACAGAGGGCTGGGCCCTGTCCTCTAGAAGGAACAGGAGACAGTTTACGTGTATGATGGAGATGCCAGGTAAGTTGTTTTGTTTTGATGTTTACTCATTTATTTTTCCCTCAGGGTCAAGGCCATGGACATCTGGAACCACACCTCGCTATCAGACTTTATCCTTTTGGGTCTGTTCAGCTACTCACCATATAACTTCTTCCTATTTTCCCTTGTCCTTCTGGCCTCTGCTACAGCCCTGGCGGGCAACATCCTCTTCCTCCTGCTCACCCAGGCTGACAGGCTCCTGCACACTCCTACGTACTTTTTTCTCAGCCAGCTCTCCATCATGGACCTGACCATAATGGGCACAGTGGTGCCCAAGATGGCAGCCAACTTCCTCTCGGGGAGTAAGTTCATCTCTCGGGGTGGGTGTGCCACTCAGATCTTCTTAGTGGTCATGGTAGGAGGAGCTGAGTGCTTCCTCCTGGCAGTCATGGCCTATGACAGGTATGTGGCTGTTTGCCACCCGCTGCGGTACCCTGTGCTCATGAACTGGAAGGCCTGCTGTCTGATGTCCTTGGCATCCTGGATGGGTGGAGTGGCTGACAGTGTGATTGATGTAGGGATGGTCTTCAGCTTCCCCTACTGTGGCGCTCTCCAGGTAGACCACTTCTTCTGTGAGGTGCCCGCTGTGCTGCATCTCTCTTGTGCAGACACATCCTTCTTTGAGGACCTCATCTATGCTTGCTGCGTGATCATGCTGCTGCTGCCCCTGGGGGTCATTGTGGCTTCCTATGCCCGGATCCTCATGGCTGTAATTAACATGACTTCCACTGAGGGGAAACAGAAGGCTCTGACCACTTGCTCCTCCCACCTGGCTGTGGTGGGTCTTTACTATGGGGGAGCCATATTTAGCTACATGCAGAGAGCCTCTGCTAGGACACCAGTGGGAGACCGAGCCACCTCCATCTTCTATACCATCCTCACGCCAATGCTCAACCCACTCATTTACAGCCTGAGGAACAAGGAGGTAATGAGGGCTTTGAAGAAGATGTGGGAGATGCAGGGGAGATAGAGAGTGTAGACGGTGCCCACCCTTCTGGGGCTTCCTCTCTTGTTGTTCTCCTTCCTCTATACGCTCAGATTCTTTCATGGCTCGTTTTCCTCCTCTGAACAAATTGAACTCTCTGCCTGGCTCAGGTGAAGCTATGAGCTGAGCAATCTGAAAGGACTGAATGGAAGATGTCAAGGAAACAGATAGTAGTAATTAGTTTCACAATGAATCTTTCCTCCATGATCACCTCTATTTTCATCTTATGAAAACCCATAGATATTTATTACTTACCATTTCCCCAGAATTGCTAGGGACAGTCTTTCTTCTGAACTCATGTTAAAAGTGAGGAAGGAGAACCAATTCAGAGCTCATTGCTCACTGAAATGTGATGCAAAGGTCAGAGGTAGAGTCTGACTTGTAGGAACTGTGTGACCTTGGACAAGGTTACTCCATTCTCTGGGCTTCACATTATCATATGCACCAATAAAGTAAGTTCGACTTGTTTCTTTTGTTATTAAACAATGGAGAGAGACTCGTGCCTTCTTGAAATTGTACATTAACTATAAGAATCAGTGTGTAAAGACTAGAACTTCTTCATAGTCTTCCTCTAAGAATAACACCGTGAAAGGTAAAAAGATTACAAGAGTGTCATTCCATTTGAGCAGTGGGGGCAGGTTGATTCTTTATCATCAACACCAAGGTTATGATCTCAGAGAGGTGGCAATTAGCAATTCTGAAGCAGGACCTTAGTTCCCTGCCCAGGAATTGAATCTAAGTAGTCTAGATGAAAACCAGAAATCCTAGATACTCATCCACCGGGGTAGAGAGGCTAGAAGCAAAGTTGCTCTTGATCTTGCCCTATTTGAAAGCAAGAATATTTCATGGAGGGAAAAACTGTAAAAACAAGTACAAAGTGTAAAAACAAGTACAAAGCACAACACACGTGGGGGAGCACAGAGAGAAGCAGTTTACATATTTAAGACAGAGGCAAGGCAGAAATACATACCTGGAGAGAAAGGGTATGGGCATATTCCCTAATGAGGAGGAGCACAGTAAAGAGGTGACTAATCATTTATCTAGGAGCAATTATTCTGGGTCTTTGTTCTCCTCTGGCCAAATATCTCATTTCTTTTTTCCACATCTGAACTTCCTTAGGACCCTCCCTGATATTCAAGTGCATCTTTTGCTAAGCTGGATTCCAGTGCAAAGGAGTATGACAACACATATTATGGGATGATGCCTCCTTCCTTCGGAGTCTTTTTGCACATGTGTAGTTGAGGAGACTTCCTTGACCTCAGGAATGAGAGATGTGGTCCTCTTATCTCTTTACTCCAGCACAGTTCAGGTCCTGCCATTAACTTTGTGCTTGGAGTGTCTAAGAAAAATAAAATTCCAGTTTGACAAACTCCCGCAGCTCAACCCCTGGGCCCATCTATCTCCTAACTCAGTTGGGAGAAAAATGAGGTGTGAGGATAAAACCCTGGCAGAAACTGGCTTCTATCTGGTTTTTAGTTCAAGAGCTCTGGAGGGATTTGGGAAATAATCTCTTGAGTCATCTACAAATATCTCCCTGAACACACTGGACCTAAAATCTCTTTTCAATCATACTGCTTCCAAGAGACTTGCACTCATATCCTTAGAGCCTGTGGAGTTTCGGCAACCAAGCGGGTGGAATGCACACACAGTGGTGAAGGAAAGAGCATAGCTCAGCCCTGGGAGAGTTTAGGGTCTGGCTACTGATACAAAATGTTCTAAGCAGAAGGGATGACTGAGCAAAGGCTGAGGACAGTGTTCTAGAGCAAAGCAAGCCAGGGACAGGCTAAGGGAAAGCTGGCTAGAAAACAGGGCCCACATCTCGTAAGGTTTGATAGTCTATGTGAAGAGAGAGAATTTTGAGTAAGGAGGAGTTATGATCTGCCCCCTCCATTAGAAAAAAGAGAATCAACCTGGCTCTCTGTATGATTCATTCAAAAATCCTATAGTAATTCAAGTGAGAAATGATGACACTGGCATCACAATGGGAAAAAATGCAGACTATAGCAGAAGTGAGCAGGTCCTGGGTACTTTTTTTTCATCTTTTTTAAAAAATTGAAGTATGGTTATTTATAATGTGGTATTAGTTTCATATATACAGCAATGTGACTCAGAAAAGTATATCTATCTATCTATATCTACATTTATATACTTTTTTTTCAGACACTTTTCCATTATAGGTTGTTACAGCATATAACATATGCTGAGTTGAGTATAGTTGAGTATAGTTAGTCTTGGTACATTTTGAAGGTCAAGCCAAGAGAACTTTCTAGCTTACAGTAGAACTGTCAGAATGGCCTGCTGTGATTTCTGTCTTTGTGGAAGAGAACTGATGATCAGAACAATAGGAGTGGTATGAATTTTGGTGCTTTCCTTTCCCCATTTTATTTCCTTCTTTTTTCAAGTAGAATTCAGAACTCCATTATCTTTTTATCTTTGATTTTTTGCAATTTGAATATGATATACTTAAAATAAAATTTAGAGGTTTTTTTTGTTTTGGAAAGTGTTTTTCGTATTTCATTTTTTTAGCAATATAAATGGCATTAGCACATTATATTAGTTTCAGGTGTACAACATAGTGATCTGATATTTGTGTTTATTGCAAAATAATCACCACAATAATCATAGTTAACATAGGATATCATGTAATTACAAAAAATTTTCCCCCTGATAAGAACTTTAAGATCTACTCTCTTAACAACTTTCAAATATGCAATATGGTATAATATAACTGACTATAGTCAATGTTAACCATGCTGTACCTTACATCCCAAGACATATTTATTTAATAGTTGAAAGGCTGTACATTTTGACCCTCTTCATCCATTTTTCCAGCACTTCAACTTTCACCTCTGGCAACCACCAATCCATACACTGTATCTATCAATTTGATTTTGTACTTTTTTAGATTGCACATATAAATGAGATAATAAACTATTTGTCATTCACTATCTGACTCATTTCATTTATCATAATGTCCTCAAGGTCCATCCATGTTCTCATACATGACAAGATTTTCTCTTTTTTATAGCAGAATAACATTCAAGTGTGTGTGTGTGTGTGTGTGTGTGTGTGTGTGTACATTTCACATTTTCTTTATCCGTTTATCCAATAATGAGCTACTAGGTTGTTTTCACATCTTGGCCGTCACAAGTAATGTTGCAATGAGCAGGGGGGTTAGATATCTTTTTGAGTTAGTGTTTTCATTTTCTTTGGATAAATACCTAAATGTAGAATTGTTGGATCATAAAGTCACTCTACTTTAAATTTTTTGAGGAATCTCCATACCGTTTTTCATAGTGGCTATATCAATCTACATTTCCACTAACAGTGCACAAGTGTTCCCTTTTCTCTAGATCCTTGCCAACACTTCTTTTTTCTTTTTTAACAGCCATATCGACAGGTGTGAGTTGATTCTGATTTGCATTTCCCTGATGATTAGTGATATTAAGAATGTGCTGGTTGCCATCTCTGTATCTTCTTTGGAATAATATCTCTTCATATCTTTCCGCCTATATTTTAATTGGTCTGTTAAGGTGTTATTACTATTGAGTTGTGTGAATTCCTTATATAATTTGGATATTAATCCCTTATCCAGTATGTGATTTTCGGATATTCTTCCCTTTCAGCAGGTTGTCCTTTCATTTTGTTGATAAATTCTTTTATTTTTTTAATACTTTAAATTTACAAGTATTGAATTTATTTTTTTATTTTTTTCATTTATTTTTATTACTTGGAGGTTAATTACTTTAAAATATTGTAGTGGTTTTTGCCATACATTGACATGAATCAGCCATGGATTTACGTGTTCCCCATCCCGATCCCTCCTCCCGCCTCCCTCCCCATCCCATCCCTCTGGGTCTTCCCAGTGCACCAGCCCTGAGCACTTGTCTCATGCATCCAACCTGGGCTGGTGATCAGTTTCAACCTTGATAGTATACTTGTTTCAATGCTGTTCTCTCAGAACATCCCACCCTCGCCTTCTCCCACAGAGTCCCAAAGTCTGTTCTGTACATCTGTGTCTCTTTTTCTGTTTTGCATATAGGGTTATTGTTACCATCTTTTTAAATTCCCTATATATGCATTAGTATACTGTATTGGTCTTTATCTTTCTGGCTTACTTCAATCTGTACAAAGGGCTCCAGTTTCATCCATCTCATTAGAACTGATTCAAATGAATTCTTTTTAATGGCTCAGTAATATTCCATAGTGTATATGTACCATAGTTTCTTTATCCATTCGTCTGCTGATGAGCATCTAGGTTGCTTCCATGTCCTGGCTATTATAAACAGTGCTGCGATGGACATTGGGGTGCACGTATCTCTTTCAGATCTGGTTTCCTCGGTGTGTATGCCCAGGAGTGGGATTGCTGGGTCATATGGCAGTTCTATTTCCAGTTTTCTAAGGAATCTCCACACTGTTCTCCATAGTGGCTGTACTAGTTTGCATTCCCACCAATAGTGTAAGAGGCTTCCCTTTTCTCCACACTCTCTCCAGCATTTATTTCTTGTAGACTTTTGGATAGCAGCCATCTGACTGGCATGTAATGGTACCTCATTATGGTTTTGATTTGCATTTCTCTGATAATGAGTGATGTTGAGCATCTTTTCATGTGTTTGTTAGCCATCTGTATGTCTTCTTTGGCAAAAGGTCTGTTTAGTTCTTTGGCCCATTTTTTGATTGGGTCATTTATTTTTCTGGATTGAGCTGCAGGAGCTGCTTGTATATTTTTGAGATTACTCCTTTGTCTGTTGCTTCGTTTGCTATTATTTTCTCCCATTCTGAAGGCTGTCTTTTCACCTTGCTTATAGTTTCCTTTGTTGTGCAAAAGCTTTTAAGTTTAATTAGGTCCCACTTGTTTATTTTTGCTTTTATTTCCAATATTCTGGGAGGTAGGTCATAGAGGATCCGGCTGTGATTTATGTCGGAGAGTGTTTTGCCTATGTTCTCCTCTAGGAGTTTTATAGTTTCTGGTCTTACATTTAGAT